GCTGGAGAACCTAAACCAATCCTGGCTGGAGAACCTAGCGAGAGAACATGGCTACAGAACCTGCCTGGAGAACCTGGAGAACGTGGCTGGAGAACCTAGCAAGAGAACATGGACACAGAATTTGGCTGGAGATTGTGGCTAGAGATCCTGGCAAGGCTGCTGATCAACTGAACGCTGTCTCCGTGTCATTCCTTCTTCGCCGACTCCGTCCACACCTTTGGGGACCCCTGGACCTGCTGGGGTTGGACCCCAGCAAGTGGTCAACAGTGTGGAAATTGACCAAAATGGCCAAGAGAAGATATTCCGGGTGGAGAAACATCCAGAATCCAGCATGGCTCAGGTGATATTTCTGAAGGACAATGTGGAGAATAGACTGCCTGGAACAGAGGCTCTGGGAAGTTTTGAGTGACTTTGGACTTTAGAGAAGGTGAGGAACTTAACTTGTGAAGTGGTGGGAAGATGGAACACTCCCAATTAACCTCTCGTGTAAATCAGATTTCAAATATAGACTCAGGTTTGTTTCAAGAAGGCATAGCTGTAGTGATGAAATGTAACGTGGTAGTTCTCGGGGACACCAACTATCAATTCTGTGCTCTCAGCTACCATGTAGGGCTTCCATGCTGGGATGTGTTCCACGTTGGTCCTCACTGGGTCAATGAATTACTCTAGGTCTGCTCAGCGCTCCATCTGGTGCGTGTCCCTCCTTGTGTGTAAACCCAGAGTGCTCTGAACTCTAGAGGTAGAGGTGGTGTGTGTGAGAGAGGGCTGGAAGATGCCCAGTCAGTGGGAACTCTCTGAACTTTATATTCAATTTTGCTGAAAACTCAAAACTGCTCCAAGGAATAAAGTCTATGTAATAAAAATTCTCAGTCATCATGCCACTTATTGGAACTTGAAGGGTGTGGTTTGGTTTTGTCCTTCTCTGCCCTCCCCCGGCTCCTATTGTACAATATTGAAGATCTGGGAGCCCAGTTCCATCCTTACCTCCCAGGATCTTTTGCATTATGGGGCACGGGGGTGGGGGTGGGGCGGCGTGGAGGGAGTGGGGCTGGATGTCTCCTTCGGGTGGACATACAGACTTTGGGAAATAATTGCATCTGGCCTCCTGCCTGATTCAAATCAATCCTGTCCTGATTTCTGTCAGGTGGGAGGCACATCTGTCAGTGCTTAGTCTCATGGTTGACTTAAATACCATCCTGTTTCATTTTGGTTAGAAAAGCATTTATCTAAAGCAGCCTTTAGAAACAGGAAAGACCAAGGAATATTGGCAGATAGATATTGGCCGACGGCTAGGTGCAACAGACCCTAACCTATTTATGAGACACGGTCCCAAATTTGTCTTCATTCCTTTATGTTGGTGAGGTCACATTGGCTATTTCTTTCCCATGACCTGCAGCTTGCCTGGAAAGGCATGACCTAAACTAAACTTCTGAGTTACATAAACTAATTTGGCATCTGCATGCAAAGTGGACAATACAATATGTTCAGATACATCCTGGATACAAAGGAAATCGTGAGTGGGTCATACAAGAATGTAATGTAACTCTTGTCTAAAAAATGCCAAATCCACCTACACCTTTGGTCGGCAAACTGCGGCTCGTGAGCCACATGCGGCTCTTTGGCCCCTTGAGTGTGGCTCTTCCACAAAATACCACATGCAGGCGCGCACATACAGTGCGATTGAAACTTCGTGGCCCATGCGCAGAAGTCGGTATTTTGTGGAAGAGCCACACTCAAGGGGCCAAGAGCCACATGTGGCTAGTGAGCCGTGGTTTGCTGAGCCACAGTGTGCCGGCCACTGACCTACACTATAGTATGAAAATAAAAGCTTAAAAATGCTAATATATCTAGCTTCTAAGTGGCTAATTGTATAAAGTACACTGAGATACGGACACAAGTTAGGAAGGTTCAAGAGCATATTTGAACTTTAGGGAATGTTTGCCAATAAAATGGTAATTTTGGAGGATAAAACTCTGACCCTATTTGTGATATATTAAAGAGTTTATTTTCTTCCCTGGTATTTATATCTTTTTGTGATTATTTCCTCCATGTCTGGTTACTACACTTTACAGGCCAATGTTAAATATAGACGTTAACTACAATAACAGTAGCTATGAAAGAAAGAGAGATCCATAGAAATTTACATTAGGCTATTTAAAACTTTTAAAACTTATTGAAAAAGAAATAAAGGACAAAACCCAACCACACTCTGAATTTCCTAGAGAGAAGGGAACACTATGGCAAAACCAGTGGCTTGAAATTTCCCAAATAAATAATTAAATATGACAAGGGATTAGCCAAGAATCCTACATTTCTCCATTTGTTCGGTTTCTTTGTGTCCATTGTAAATTAGAAACAAATTCTTATTTTGAATTTTTGTTAAAGGTTTCCTCAGGAAACCACACACGTAAAGAGAACCACACCAGCAGACCTATGGAATGATATTGAATGGGATTCACATAAGACTACTTTCAAATCAGAAAAATGGAAAGTAAAAGCAAAACATATACCTACATATAAAGAGTAAGTCCATGGAAGATTCTGAACACATGTAGATATGTCTTCCACTTAGCAAAGTATTTGAAAGATCTTAGGATTCACAGAAAGCAAAATAGTATTCAAATGCTAAAGGAACAACACCCTCACTTTGGTTAACACAAAGTGTAACATCATGTTATTATCAGCACTCTAGTGGGGATCTCAACTTCAGCATTTCTTGGACTTTTCAGGTTCAGGCATATGTGGGCACGTTTGGATTTGAGTGCCTGCGGGAATGAGTATGAGCTATTATTCATGGCTGATGTTACACACTCCTGGACATATCCGGGACTACAGTAGCTTCATAGAAATACATTTACAGCAGGGATATGTCTCATGCTAAGGAGGAAGGAAGCAGGTGGGGACTTATCATTGAAAGTGACTAGGAGTCCTGAACAGGGCATG